TCCGGGGCGCCGCCGCGGACTGTAATGTACTCCTGAGAATGGGTGAGTTCGAAGTGCCGAGGAACACACCGCCAAAAAAACTTGTCCTTTTCACTGCTGCGCCAAGGGTCCACCACCTCCGGGTTAGCATGGTGCTCGTCGTTGACGTAATCCTGGTCTAAGGTTCAGGGCCTTTGGGTCTTCGCGCCTGAGGGTTCAGGAGGGACGAAGTTATCCGGAACGCAACCGCAAGTAGATGAGGAAGGGCCTACAAAGCTAGAGAGTGTGTCTGGGAGCTCTCTGAGAGAAGGTGCTTGCCAGTCTGCCTATTAAGGGCTGAAAGGAGGGACCCCTATAAGGGACCTTTCATCTTATTCCCCTATATAACCCCTAGCCCCCAAATAACCCCAATGTCCCTTATCAGGGTCCCTCCTTTAGTCCTCTGAGCCTAGCGTCCGTGACATACACATCCACTTCCAGGGCGCAGGTCCGAGCTGGGTCGCGCGGAATATCTCGGAAGATCCTTCGGCCATGTCGTCATGAACCCTAAACCCTAAACCCTAAACCCTAAACCCTAAACCCTAAACCCTAAACCCTAAACCCTAAACCCTAAACCCTAAACCTTGGGATGCTCCCCCTATACTAGCAGTCCTTTATGGCGTTTATACTTGGGGGTACCATAGTCCCTCTTGAGGACTGCTAGTATAAAGGCGAACATCCCAACCGAAATCCTAAACCCCGGTGGGCGGGGGGGGGGGGGGAACGACTACGAGGAGATGGCTTCAGATGGCTTCGACATTCGTGGCCAGACGACATTGCGGCATTGCAAGTCGAGGCGCAGTTGTGTGGAACAGCCTGGTGATGCGCAGCCGAAGTTCTGCGTATAGCCTCAGAGACACGTTCAGACCCTAAACCATAAACTCTAAACTCTAAACCCTAACCCTGCACCCTTTCACAAAGCGGCGTGTTTATCTACCCATGACCCATCGCAAGCGGAATGTGGCGCTACAACCTTGTCCAGCACTAAAAATCGAAAGGCGAGTCGACTCGAGAGATTGCTCCTTCTTACTCTGAGCAAGAATCCTGAAATTCCGTGTGTTCCACCAGTTTCGGAAGACAAAATCCTACAGTAGCAGTGGACAGGGCACGGATCACTTCGGGACCCAATGCTGCAGATGAGTAGAAGGTGGTCGTGCCCCGACCTGCGCTGCACGGAAACTTTGTTACAAGTTGACGCTGTACAGGTCACCTGCTGCGTGACGTGACAATGTCATGTCATGTTATCTCGGGGTAAGGGCCCAACTATTCAACTATTCGTCCAACAAATTCACCGAAGAGTACGCGGGCACTTCTCCATTAACGCCACTTCTAGGTGTTACTGCAACTCTCAATGCAAACTGCTCCTAGCTGGAAATCTTGTATTCGTTGCCTCAGGACGGTGCATGGTGCGGTTGACGTTGCAGGTTCAGACACCTTCACCAAAACCTTCACTCCGTGGCGTGCCTTCCATGTCACCTCTGCCAATTGCAACCAGCATGAGCCACTCAGACCCATCGGGAGGAACATCCATGTCTGCGCCGCTGTCCCAGGAAGCCTCCACGTGAAACAGTCGACATTACGTTATAAAAATGAGCCGTGCATCGATCGGCTTGCAACACGAAAGCGATGAAGGAAGCCCTATGTCGGGACAGGCCTCACTGTCGCAAGCTCGCATTCCAATGGCCCACTTCTGCTTGCGCTTCAATGGCGTGCCCAGTTCATCCTCGACCTCTTCCGTCATGTTAATGGCCTCAGACCACGAGTCAACAACTCGCAGGAGTTCCTGAAAGCCGAATAGAACCATTAAAAATCCCAACCGAACTCTGCGACTGACTGCATCTGGGGAGCGCAGCTGCACATACAGTCGTCTTCGAGCTCGAAGCTCTCATTCACTCCCAAGGTCACCGTCGTGGTCGTGGTGGAGAGCCTCGCGTACACCAGCTCACGGAAAACGCAGCGGGTGGCTCTACGTGGCTCTCCTCCCTTTTTGGGGCCGTAGGCGAAGCACGGTTCAATGCGCTTCAAGGGAGTGTGTTGCGCATGGTGTCTTCACGGCGCCAGAATCGTAACCGACCTCCCTGGCACCGACTTTGTCAAAAGTGAGTCTAAGCTGCGTAGTAGGAGGCGCACAGCAGCGGACCAAATCAGTGCCATTGCCTGCACAGCGCGGCTAACAGAGAACATGCAACGCATGCAGGAGAACCTGTGCAAACACGGAAGCGTACACTGGAGACTGCCTGCACAAAGATCATCGAAACTTTATTGTTGAGTACGGTGCCGAAGGGTAGTCACACTCACAGGCAGCCGCAGGAACCCGAAAACCTAAACCCTCACAACCTCGGAAGTCACAAGCCCGCCATGAGTGGCAACGTGATGACTCAACCTGAAGTTATTTCCAGGCCCATCAAGTAGAAGCTTCGCGAAACCCATCCAGCGCCACGGTGCAGAGGAAGTCTCCAGTGCAAAATGGTGGTCGTCCATCCAGTTCGAGACGCTGCGTCAACTCAGTGGCCGTTTGATTCGAAGACGAGCAACTCGGGTCTGTACTGCACGGTTTGAGAATGATGCGCGCCCCTTTGAGGAGATGGTCCTTCACGTATCCTTAACCATATCACGATTCCCGCCGTGCACTTTCTGCATAATGTATGTAGGATGCAGATGCAGATTACTTACGCAGATGATCCTGCGCGTAGCAGCACGTAGCTTGGTTGCGGGATCCGGGCCAAGCACCGCTGCTAACAACAGCAGATTGCTGCTACTACCTGGAGCCTGGCATGTGCACTTCTATAGTGTTGCCTGCAACTCTGCATAGCTAAAGCTAAAGCCTAAACTCAAAACCCTAGACCCGAAACAACACAAGCTTCCTGCCACCTGCAATTGCTGATTTTTTGAGATCGGCTATAGCGTCTATAGAAGAAGACACGTGCACATCGAGCAACACATGGCACTTTCGACACCAGCTACTTCCACTAGAGTGCTGCGTAGCCGAAGTGGTTGTTCTGAGCACTCATTCTGCAGTCTCTCCTGTGCTGTGCCGCATGTTGCAGAAGTGTCCCTGCTCACGGCCGTAGTGTTCTGAATTCTTCGTATGCGACCATCAGTGCATGGGTTCCCGAAAGATTCCCTACCACAGATCCACAGAAGTGTCTAGGAGGGTCCCAAGGCGCCTGAAGACACGGCTCCACTTCTCCTGACCAAGGCTGGAATCTCTCCGGGCCCCAGGCATCGGCGACTTCCATGCCCCAAAGCATTGGGAAAAAAGAAAACCTAACCCTAAACCCTAAACCTTAAACCCTAAACCCTATAAACCCTATGAACCTTATGAACCCTACACCCCCAAGCCCAAAAATGCCGAAAAACCTCTATCACGGCCCCTCGGTTCAGGCCTGACATGCCCAGGGCGTCAAAGATGCGAACCTTCAGGGGCCCCCCCCTTTGGGGTTTAGGGTTAGAGTATGGGGTTTAGGGTTTAGGGTTTGGGGTTTGGGGTTTGGGGTTTAGGGTTTGGGGTTTAGGATTTGGGGTTTAGGGTTTCCCAAGCCAACTTGCCAAAAAAGGGCCGCTCCAGATACCCAAACACGGCCTCCCAAACAAGAGACCCTAGACCCCTTGAGACAGCAGTCTCTCAACACCCCCGAAAAACCCAAAACCCTGAACCCTATACACCCTAAACCCCAAACCCAAAACCCTCTACAACTGCCCATGTTGTTGACATCCCCGGTGAGTGCCTGCCCCGCATCTGAAGCGTTCGCGGCCTCGGGTTCAGACTCCATTCAAACAGAGCTTCTTCTCAAAGCTTCGTTCCGTGCATAGTGAGGCTGCTGTTGTTTTGGGATGGTTAGATGCTCCCCCCACCCACCAGTGGCCTAAACCCTAAGCGCCCGTTAAACCCAAATTAACCCCCAAGCCCCCCATTCCCCCGTGCCTCGAAGTATGGCAACTTGACCCAGGCGGCCATAGTGTACTCCGACCCCACGAGCCTGCTCACAAGTACCGTCAAGTATCTGTTCAGGTGACACTCTCCTACTCCTGGGGCCCTGCTCGCCAAGATCCACCATAAAAGAGTCACTTGTGGGAAGCGCTCTCGGTTTCCGTCCCTACCTCCACCCCAACTGTTCCCCCAAACTCGATGGCCGCGCTTCTTTGGGTCGAGCTCGAAGCGCCCGTCTCCACTGAGCTGCCAGGCCGGCGCCCGCATGGCCGAGCTCCAGTCCACGTCACCTCGCAGCACGTGGGGAGACTGCAAGGAAAACTTGAAACTTCATACGATGTACTCACCGAAGCCTAGATTTAAGCAAATACGTGAGTACAAAAGCTTCGTGAAGGCAACTTCCACCAAGCCATGCAGTGGGAAGGGGGGGGAGGGCGACAAAAAGCGACAGGGCAGGGCTGCCTGCTTCCATGGCCCCGCTTGTCAAATTTTGCGCGGCGTCGAAACTGAGAACAGCCGAGCTCGTTGGCACTTCCTGGGCGCAGCACCGTAACGCACAAGTCCTAATTCTTGTACTTCAGCAATTATCTTGCTATGGCGCAGCATGGAGCAGGCAAGACAGCCTGCAGAGTTGTGCTGCCCCTCGTCGTTGCTCAGGCCGTGAGCCAGCAAACAGGGACTTCGTGTGGGTTGGACTCTTGGAACTTGAGGCAAAGTGCCAGGAAGCATCAAGAACCTCTTACACTACTCGGGCGCATGGCGAGGTACTTGGTGATCCCAAAGGACCAAGCAAGATTCTCGTTTCAAGGTGGTCAACATATCAGCGGCCGCAGCATTGCATGGCTGTGAGTCGCACAGTGGCCAGAATGCCGAGTGACTGGATGTAACTCCCATTCGCAGTAGCCAGTGCTGCGCACCTCCTGCCAGCCGGTGGAAGTATAGAAACCACCTACAAAAGACTTTAGCAGGCCTCTGGACTCTGGCCATGTGCTGATGTCATTATCCATTCTCCTCCCACTACAACTCCCATGCCTGCTGCTAGTACTGCGACTTACCTCGGACGATTGCGACTGCGACCGCCATCCGACAATGTGCGTTCCTTCCATTGGCAAGGCTACTGCGAAATACTCATGCGCGCAACGCGCGCCCAGCTCCTGGCCATCCACGGTGAAGTCCATCCACATGGCATCACAGAACTTGCCAATGTGGGGCCTCGGCTGCCCCGTGCCAGCGATCAGTGTATAAGTTTTGCTGCCTCAGGACTCACGTTCCTGGGGTCCTGCAAAGAGGGTGCCGACTCCTGACTTGTTGCCTCTTCTAGCACCCATGTATCTTTCCAGATTCTAGCGGAGGTCCAAAGCCTTGAGCTGCTTTACCTCGGATGCCCCCTTAGACTAACCGCCCTGAAAGGGGATTATGATCACTAGGGGGTACTAGAATCCCTACTCAGGACTGTTAGTAGAAGGGGGAACATCCCAATGCTTTACCATGATGGTCCGTGCTTGAGACGAGCAGCTTGTGAACGCTGTCGTCGGCCGCGGGGGCTGCTACCCCATCTGCGCCCACCGTCTCCGTGGTCTCTGGCACCTGCGTTGATGAGGCCGAGCAAGGGTAAGGACTTGAGATCTTCCCCCTTCTACTAACAGTCCTTAATTGTGATTCTTCAGCCTGCTATAGACATTCCAGGTACGAGTTATCTCGTCACATCCCTAAACAGCCTTGTAAAAAAGCATACTAAGAAAACAAATAGTAGGCAGAAGCAGAAGAAGAAGAACCTATATGCAACCCCAGACCAGGGTGGCGCCTGACAGAGGCAGGCGGCGGAAGCACTGCTCTTGAGGCGAGACTCCACAGTGGAGTTGAAGATCCGATCCTTAGCGCCAGAAGGACTTGGTGCTATGGAAATGGTCTATACATACTGCTTGAGCAGAGTAAATAACTACAAAACCGGTGATGAGCACGTCTCGTGGTCGCATCATGGTGACGGAGCCTGTTGCATGCGGTGTGTTGTGGAAGTCTTTTGCTTGAAGCTGCAACGGCTCTTGCTAAGGTTTGCTTTTTCCCCGTCAGTACCAGTATCACTACCGACCAGCAGTCATGGCATCCAAGGCCAGCTCCCTAAACCCTAACTAAACCCTAAACTCTAAAACCCTATTTAGCGGCAAGATTTTTGGGCAGCACAGCAAGCAAGGCTGATGCTGTGGGTCCCACGTGCCTCTGTCAAGGTGGGCCACTTAGAACTAGAAGCATCTTCGGGCAAACATCTGGCCATGCCCGGCCAGTCAAGTCTACTGCGAGCACGGCCAGTACCAGACATGAAAAGAAGGCCCCGACATCCCCGACAAGAAGAAGACCACCACAGACAGTGACCAGCAGTCGTTGTAACAACCCTGGAACTATCTGCTGGAAACAGTGCCAGATAATGCCAAAGGCTCCTGGAGTGACCAGAGGCAGTCGGGGTCCTTGCAGCGACTGTACCCACGAATTACTGTGGAGCTGGTAGAAAGGCGGTGTCTAAGGCGAGCTCCTTCTGGTGTCCTATTCTTGTCTGCGGAGTCTAGGCTCAGAGGCTCACATGAGTCACCTGGCCTTCTTCTCCTTAATGAATGCCAGCCACGGCTGCCACATCGGATCATCTGACGAGAGGAGTCGAGGGTTTCGGGGTTGTGGTGGTCACTAATTATAGTTCACTCACCTTCCGTCTTGCTGCTGAAGGGTGCGAGGGCGTTCGGGGGGCTCTGCAGCCATGGCACTAACGATGTCCAGACTGGTCCTTGTCGGATTGGCCGGGCTCAGTGCCTGACACAAGACACCACTCAAACCGAGCCTTGCAAGAGGTTGTCTGATGTGAACGCAATGTGGTTTCTGTTTGCTGCCACGACGTATTATTACTGTCCACAGCGCGAAGCAAGTAGGCACGGCATAGTGAAATAGTAGTGAGTAGTTGCAACAGCGTAACTCTTAAGATCGGGTCTCAAGTCTGCAGTGCCTGTGAGTCGCCGTAGGCGCTCCAAGCTGCCTGCAAAACGGGAGATGAAGATGCACCGTACTGTGCAATCTGGGTGGCAACAACAGGTTCGAGAAGTGGCCATGCTCACATGGTGATAAAAAATAGTGCCATGACTGCGCCATCTTTTGATCGTGACATATCGTGACTGTATCATCTCCCCATGCCTCTGCGCCGACGGCCAGTAGGGCTGGATGAATCTCTGGAGGCCAGAGACCTCCGCCAGAAGTGCATTTTTGTTTGGGGGGGGCACCTCGTCTTCCAGAGCAAAGGCGCTACAGAGAGCAGTCTCGAATGTTTCTGAGCAGTGGAGGGACGTGGGCTGACGAAAGACCTGGAAACGCTGCCATGCAAGCAGCTCGCCGCGCTGTGTTCGCCCTTTTTTTGCCAGCATTGCTTGCTTGGAAGATCGGGGGGAACTCAGTAAGTCATTAGTATAGGGTTAGGAAGCAGAGGGCAACCCGCTTGACAGTTGTACCTACTAAGCCACTCCGATCTTCCGAGCAGGCTGTCTGAGCCCTCAGAGAGCCCTGAGAGAGCCCTCAGACAGCGAAGTTTTCCTCTAAGCCCGGCTGTCGCGGACGGCGCGCTGCAACCGCGAGCTGAGGCCGGCGTCCTCGGGGAGCCTCCAGTCCGAGAGCACGCCCTCCGCCTCCAAGACTTTGAGGAGCAAAGGAAGGCGCTCGGCATCCAGGAGCTCCTCAGTGCGGTCCGTTCGCCGGCGCCGGAGCTCCTCTATACTCCCCTTAGAACCTTAATAAAAATACTGTTTTTAACTATTTTTAATATCCTCTTGGGTTTTATATAAACAAAAATAAGAAAAAACTCACAAGGGGGATATATAGTCCTGGTTGCAGGTCTCCAAGAGCTCCCGCCGCGCCACGCCATTTCTCTCGGCCTGCTGGGCCAAGAGGGACCAAGCCAGAGGGTGCTCCTCACTGAGCCTCTCCAGGCCCGCGAGCTGTTGGACTAACGAGGCGGTGGCAGACTTGGAGAGCTCCTGAGTTGTCCAGGAACCTGGGGGAATGAAAGGGTTAACCTAATTGGGATAATAAGGGGATTATACTACCTCAAAAAGGTTAAAGGTTGCCTACTCTACTACTAGGGCTCCCCTGAGCCGGTCACCATGTCCAAGAGCGCCCGCAGCAACATGCACTGCTGCTCCACAACTTGCCGCTTCTTCTGCTCCGCCTCCGTATCCTCGAGCTCTGCAAGCCGGCGCTCTGCTTCCAAAGCTTCTCGCAAGCTGGCCATCTCCTCGCTGGCCTTGACCGCCGCACTCTCAGGAGGTAGCGATGCTAGCAGCTGGGACGCAGTGAACGAAGTGAGTGAGCCGGGTTCACCCCGCTTACCCTTGCGATGTTTGCCGTCCTTGCCATTGCCCTTACGAGGCTCCAGGCTCTCTAGCTCCATCGCCACATTCTCTGCCAGCTTAGTCCAGTTTGCCTCCTCAGCCTTCGCTTGACTGAGCCGAGCATCAAGACTGTGGCAGTCGCGCTCCAGATCGTCGATCGCGTCTCGCTCCGCTGCAAGCAGCGCCTCAGCTTCAGCAACCTGTGCTACCGCGGCATCGCGGTCGTCCGTTGAGGCGCTCAGCTCCTTGTTCCAGGACACTTGTGCCTGAAGCAAGTCTTGCAGTTCTGCTCTCAAGGCCTCCTCTTCCGCTGAGGTTTTTGCCTTTGCCTTAGACATTGCACACTGCAGCCTCAGCGTATGTAGCCGACCATGATGCAAAGACGAGAGGCTGCTCAAGCACAGTCTGTCTGAGAGACGGGTCAGCTTGTGGAGTGAGGTGTTCTGCACCTGACTAGCCTCCAGCTACCTGCGTGAGAGGACTACCCTGTTTTGCAATCTGCATGCACTTACTACACGCTTCTGAGCCATGTCAGGCCCCACAGACGAGCTGCTCAGACATCGAAGGTTCATCAAGATCACAGTCATGTCTACAACGTCATCGCAGCAGTATCAAGCCTTTGAACCAGGATGGGCTATATACAGGGCAATTTTTTACGGGGAGTTATAGGGTATAATAGCCCGTCCTGGGGAAGCAACATCTCTCCCTTCCGTGACTCGCACGATATCTCTGGCAAGGCCCCGGCCTGGGTATTCGTCGGTGCCGTAGGTGCGGTCGAGGAGGATGATGCCGTCAAGGTTGGTCTCAGCGATAAGGAAGCCCACACCTGAGCTCAAAGAGGTTGCTTCGAGAAATTGGAGCTCGGAAATGGGCCCGACGGACACGAGGATGGTTCCATACATGAGGCGCCGCTCGCTATGTGCATGCACATATGCCTTCCACCAGGATTCCAACAGTAGAAGACGTTTCTTTTGGATGGATGGGTGACAGGAGGGCGGGGGGTCTAAAGATAAATATATGAGTCCTGCATCTTGGATCACTTGAGCGCTGCATTATGAATCCTTGGGCTCCGCACCAAAAAAGGCACCGAACGAAAAAATCATCGGCCCAAGCTCCAAGATTCAAGATTCTAGGTGTTAGCTGTTAGCCCCGAAAGGAGATGGACTGCGAAAACGCGGCTGGCCGCGGTCATAAACCAAAGCTTCGTCTCGCTTACAAACGCCGGCATTTGTCACAAACAGACACGTTACTTAGATCCTCAGGTGGTGCCGAGCCGAACAATACCCACCCAACAGAGTTGTCAAAATGGTTCTGCCAGGGCACATGGCGTGTAGTCGTCACAAACCTGGAAAGGAAAGTCTTTTGACGACTTAGCCTTTGTTCTGCCTGGCATCTCTTGCACTTCCCTGCGTGCAGCGACAGACTTGGTTCAACATCCTGCGGCCAAACTGTTCGAGGAAATCGAAGATTTGCGGCTTGCCCAAGACAGCCTGCTGCATGACGGCTTTGACAGACTCCATCGTCTTCGTGTTCGGATCGCCAATATCTCGATACCAGATGGTCTTGTAGAAGTTGTTATTCCTGCAGATCACGGCGGGGGCGAATCGTGAGCGAGACTTGGCTTGGGAGCTGAACTGCGAGGTTGCAAGGAAAGCCGCAGGTATGGCAAATCGAGCCGGTCCTATCCACCAGCGCACCATTGCCAGATGGCGTGTACCTCAGGGGCCACTGTGAAGACGCGTCTTGTTTTGAAACAGCTCTCGTGGTACAAGTAAAACCTGCTGTTGGTGAGGGACGGCAGGGCATGCATTGAGAAAACACAATCACATTCTATATATAATATTGTTACTAATATGTGAGTTTTTTTATCAAGCTCATTGACTTTCCCGCACTTCAGATATCTTCGGCTGCCTTTGCTTGCAGCCCTCAGTCTCACGACTGACCAACAGCTTGCAAACAAAACGGGGGTTGGGCTCCTACACGTGCACAGCAGCTTCTCTGTTGCTACCATGGCGCTTGTAGGCCATGGGGCTATTCAGAGTCAGCAGGTTTGCATAGCACTCGCTGCGTGAGAGAACCTCAGAAGTCTCTGGATGAGCAGGGAAGGAAAGTGCAGCGGTGCAGCGACTACCACTCTTTGCATCTTGCGACACGCAAGCTAGACAGTGAAGCTAGCGGGTCATGGCTTGATTGATGCCGTTCCATGTCCGTCAAGTTAACGCGCAGGCAGGATTGTAGAATGCCCAAGATCGTCGAGGCACCGAGTTTGCATAGCAGAGGCACAACCCTGTGTAGTCGTGCCTTCGAAAGCAGGTCTACGACTCAACGTACCGAGTGCTGCAATACAGCAATGCATGCTGCAAGCATGCAAGAACATATTCGAGCGCTGACCCTGAGGCAGTCTAAGCCACCAGCCTTATGATGTACTGGCTGTAGGGCTGTCCATTGCCGGCAGTCCTTGACAACTGCATCTTCCAGCTGCAGTCGCCATAGAGGCACTCCTTAGGATTAAGGCCGGGTGACTTCCTCGGAACATTCCCGTCCCACAGACTGGCGGCACCAGCTGAGGCACACTCTGAGTGCAGGAAACAGCAGCTGAGGCTCATTGTTGAATCCATTTCGCAAGCCCCCACCAGAGTAGGTATTTACCCATCCGATGCCCGCAGCCCGCGCGTCCGCAAGGAAGTTCACCCTGAGATTCGGGAATGCTCCGCAGTCAGCACATGTACATTCGAGCTGCCGACTGGCCTGGTGTCGTTTGATCGCCCGAAGTATGCGCGATATTGCAGGATGTTGCTTTCATCCTCGGCGCCCTGGACTGTCACCTTCCATGGCAAGATTATGTGTGCATGCTGCTGATTCAGGCGAAGAAGAAGTTGACAACGATTTGCGGTTGGCTGGCAGTCTAGCTGCCGCTAACCGCAAGACCGGACCATTGGATGGCCCGCTTGTACGCGGTTCGGGGTTGTGCGTGGTGATCAGGGTGATCAGAGTGCATTGAACTGGGCGTTCCTTAAGTGCTAGGCTCTTTGATTCGGGCCTCTCCCAAGAGGTAGCCACGGCGAACGTCGGAGTCGCTGAAGAACACGGAGCTGGGTGTGTACGTCGGTATGCCTCTCCATTCGGAGCATGTAAGGATGTCATGAATGGACATTGAGTCAGAGGTGGGAAAAGGTGGGCAATGTCCAAGCTGAAGACGTCAGGGCTGCGGAGCCCCTTGTCACAAGCAACTGCTTGACGGCGCATCCCACCCGACCTGGAATCTGCAAGTCTATGAGCAGAAGCACGTCGCCTGCAAGGCTCAGTCAGGGAGGACCCAAACCCCTCCCTCGACTTTCGAGCCGTTGAAGATGGAAACCCATGGCGACTACTACTACTACTACTACTACTACTACTACTACTACTACTCCTCCTACCACCACCACTACTACTACTACTACTACTACTACTACTACTACTACTACTACTACTACTACTACTACTACTACTACTACTACTACTACTACTACTACTACTACTACTACTACTACTACTACTACTACTACTACTACTACTACTACTACTACTACTACTACTACTACTACTACTACTACTACTACTACTACTACTACTACTACTACTACTACTACTACTGCTACTACTGCTACTACTGCTACTACTGCTACTACTGCTACTACTGCTACTACTGCTACTACTGCTACTACTGCTACTACTGCTACTACTGCTACTACTGCTACTAGTGCTACTACTGGGACTGGCCTTGTCCTGTGGTCAGATGCAAGGCGGCGGCATAGAGCGCACCGGAGGTGAAGTTGCACCCCGTGGCTTGCCAGGAGTAGCTCGAGCCCACCTTAGGAAAAAACCTTAATTAAGCGTAATTGTCCCTAAATAGCCTTCATTATGGGTTTAGGATTTAGGGTTTAGGGTTTCGGGTTTAGGTTTATATGGGGGTTTCCGAAATTAGGGGGTACCTTCTTGGGGTCCTTATGATAAGGAAATCCTGCTATTTGGGGTTTAAATTGGGGGTCCCGTATTTTCGCAACACCCCCATATTGGTTTAGTGGGGGGGTTGAGCTGAGTTCACTGAGTTTGCTGAGTTCATGGAGACACATGTAGTGTTTTGGCATGCTCCGGGGCTTGGGGGGGGGGGGGGGGGGGGGGGGGGGGGGGGTATGTGTTGGGATCCAATGTCAAAAGGGAGCAGACTCTTATTCTCGATTCTTGCTTGCAAGCAGTGCTAACAGCCCCTTGCGACATCTTGCATCCGCCTGGGCCGATTTTCAGGGAGATTACCGGGAGTTGTAGGCGCTTCAGGGTGCAAAGATCGGGGGTATGGGGGGGGCCGAGTTCTGAAAGGCCCTCTATCCTCAGTGCGATTGGCCATTTCGGGGGTCCAAGTCTGAACACTACATTCTAACCCCCCAGAGGAGGTTCGCAGGGCCGCCTGGTGATGGTTCATCAAGCGGCATCCGGGATCCAGAACCTGACACGCGCACACAAAGGGGTTTAACCCTAAACCCTCGACGTAGTCATGACCTCTTACCCCGAAAGGGACGAGGGACTCGACAGCTGTGCACCGTTAACTTGACGACTAAGAGGGATTTGAGTTTTGGGCAATGTCAGGCCAAAACCGCCGTTCTGAAGTTGCACTTGCACTGAGCACTCTCTGTCGAGCGATCAAACCGATCCGGCCTGGGTCCAGACGTTTGCCAAGGGCGACATCACACCTGAGCCGGCTGATGGCTTCAACTAGCCCGACAGCAAAGCTTCTGAACTCAGAAGTGGCAACGCTTCCCAAGAGATACTCAGAAAACCTTTCGGTATGTTGCTGTTGGGGGGGGGGGGGGGATAGCAAGAGGATGTTTGCTCTTGCGAAGCCCTCCAGACAGGATGCGGTTCTTGGCCACGGCGGGGACCACCGCAACCTGCATGGGAAACCCTAAACCCTAAAGCCCTAACCCCTAAACTCCTAAACCCTAAACCCCTAAACCTCTAAACCCCCTAAACCCCCTAAACCCCCTAAACCCCCTAAACCCCTAAAACCCTAAACCCCTAAACCCCTAAACCCCCTAGACCCCTAAACCCCTAAGCTTGCATGCGTGTTTGTGACTGTTTTCTAGACCTGGCTACACTCAGAAGGGTAGCTAAAAATCAAAATGTTAGCTGCCTTATTAAGGAACCCATAAACCCAAAAAGGCTAAGGATCTAAAGTTACAGTAAAGTACCACAGAAGCTGGCGATCCAGCCTCGAGGATGCACCAGTCGCCCGAAGGATCGGACTGCTGGGTCGTCGTCTGAGACAGGAACAGGTTTAGGGTTTAGGGTTCAGGGTTCATTTAGGGTTTAGGGGTTTAGGGTTTAGGGTTTAGGGTTTAGGGTTTAGGGTTTAGGGTTTAGGGTTTAGGGCAACCGGAATGTTTACCAAAATGGCCTAAGGCACCCCAGGCCCCGGCACTTCGTTGGGTCCGTGACTTGCTGCGGCGACCTCATGCAATCCAAGTCGCGCAGCTGGTAAAGTTGAGGTTCAAGGAAAAGCCATCCGTGCTGGGCCTCAGCGGGTTTAGAGTTTAGGGTTTAGGGTTTAGGGTGCAACACAGATCTTATGGCTACGCCCACACGGGCCTGCATTCGTGTCCCAGCAGAGCCGGCTTCCAAGCATAACGGCCTCTTGGGCTCATGTTGGGAGCTTCCGAAAATAGGAGTACCCTTTTAAGGGGTCCCTTTAATCTATTTGGGGGATAGAAGGGGTACCCCTATTTTGGGAAACTCGTAGCTGAAGGCGGGACCTGCGCCTGCCACCCTGAACGCCCCTGACCCTAAGACCTAAGCCCTAAACCCTAAACCCTCTGAACTGCTAAATATAAGGGTTTCACATTGCGCGAGAAAGAGCGATTCGGGGCTGGCTTCGGCCGAGGGACTTTCCCAAGAGCAGCGGGTCAGACGCAAAGCCGCCAAGGCCACTGAGCCTCTACTTTCATGGTGCTTACTGTCCAGGGTCTTTGCGGACGTTTGCAGGGACTACCAGTAGCTTCGGGCCCTAGGCTGGAAGCGAAGCGCTGAAGGATTCAGGGCCTTCAAGGCCGGGGGGGGATCCACCGCTTTAACTCAGGTGCTCTCTCGCAGCTCTAGGAGGGGCAAGCTGAGTGTCTGCTGGAAGAAGGACACCCTGGGTGGGGCCTTCTGCTGCCCTCGGTACTGCCAATGACATCACCACGTGCTTGGAATGGAAGTTCACCACCACCTCGGAGCACATGGAAGCAGGTTCCAGGAAGCCAAAAGCCAGCTTTGGAGTGGCGACATATTTCATGTTTAGTTCACAATCTATTGACCTACTTGATATCGAATCTCATATGCTGATTCAGTATGTAAATGAACCCTGTATATATCAATGTACATATTTATACTGTGAATACTAAACTACATAATGTAGAGACTAAGTCTTCCCAATGCTGTTGAGCTTTTGATATTCCTGGAGGAATATGCTGCCTGTATGCGACCAGGGCCATGAGGTTAGGGGCTCCGATGGGCATCCTACAGTCCGCCCCGCCCCTCCCTCCTCCTCCCCCCCTCCCTCCCCCCTCCTCCGACAATGCAACGCTGACACCTTCCCCCCCTCCCCCCCCCCCCCCCCCCCCCCAATTTCCTCGAAATGATCAACTAATTTACCACTGTGAGGAGTTCGTCCGGTTCTTCTGCTAAAGCAGAGACTACACTCAAGCCTAGCTACATTAGCTTTCGCGAAAAAATGAACTAGTGCAATATGTGTATGTATATGTATATATATATATATATATGCACATCTATGCGTGTATAACTATATATATATATATGTTTAAATTTATATTCATATATTTACTTTGTATGTGTGCTGATGCGTGTGCGCCTACCAGTGCTCTTTTGCGGCAATGCGTCTTCGCAATGCGTCTTCGTCTGCGCCACCCCCCCCCCCCCCCCCCGGGCCGACACAATGTATGTATTTGCATACATATGTATAAATAAAAATAAATAGATACATAAATAAAAAAAAGAAATATATATATATATATGTATGCATGCATGCATGTGTATGTATGTATGTATGTATGTATGTATGTATGTATGTATGTATGTATGTATGTATGTATGTATGTAACATTTCTCCAATTGTCAGGTAGGGGCCGACAGGTGTTGGATCGCGTTGCTCGCACGGCCTTCCAGATACCTCAATTGATACAGAGAGTGCGATCACTAATCTAGTGTGGAAGACTGCTCCTTTGTCATCTCATACTTTCTAAGTACGAACTTACTCAAAAGGCAATAGAGATCACGCCGTGGTCATCTCAAGGGTCATCTAAAGCCTAAGCTGCAAGCTCTTGCGCTTCAAGGGGTATGTGGTTGTGCGTCACAAGCTGCGTCAGCTCGAGTTGAAGTTATCCTCGATTCTTGCCCTCAACAAGCCACAGATGGATAAAGACAGATCCTGAGCTAGTGCCATGTGACACGTCAACCCGTGCTCCAGTCAGCTGCAAGCTTAGTATCAGTCTTCAACCCAAGCCCTAAAACCTGAACACCCTAACACCCTAAACTTCCCGAGGCTGAGATGCGCCCCCACCACAGACGCAGCAGGCGGAGGTGGCGTCGATTCCTGTCCCGGCAATCTTAGGAATGCTGAGCAGGACTGGGTAGGACTTCTACACACGCATGACTCATGTGGACTCGGATGGTGATGGGCCCGGTAATGCGGGGGTGGTGGCGTGACGATGATGCCGTCGATGACATGACGACGGACGACAATGAGGGTACTAGGGTACTTCTGGTACTGCAAACATAACCATTCGAGAAATGATGCACGAAGCACTGGAGGAGGCGGCAATCAAAGGCTTTGAATGACCCCGCCAGAGCATGCAGGCCTGAACCATCGGCGAGGCTCCCAAGAGTCACTCCGGCAAAGCCTCCCTTGAGCCGCACATCCCAAGCACCAACGGCGTGCCTGGGCGATGCGCCAACGAGTTGGGTTCGACAGCAGGAATGAGCCTTTGCCGAGCCTTCTTATGCCTTCTTTACGCAAATGCAGCATAATGCAGCCCAAGAAGTTCGTTGTCGAGTGGCCAGCCGGTGCTGATGTACACCTCCGTTCTCCAACCACTGCAATTAATATAGATAGGTGCTTCCTTCTTCTGCACTACAGCTGCGTGAATAACTAACTGTATACGATGCTTGGTAGGTGGCTTTTCTGGCAAACGCATGCCATGGATGCGCTGCAATGATCTTCTAACTGAAATACAAGCGCAGCAAGAGTGCAACTGGGACCGATGTTGCTGTGTAAATATATAAAATACATCAAATATCTCAATGCTGCATTTCTGCCTGCACAAAACTTGACAGCAAGATCGCGCAGATGCCACCGATGCTTTGAGCACACTGCGCAGTCGTCGGCACTGGCCTCGTTCAGAAGACTGATCTGGGTGGTGCTGTCATACCTGAGCACACTGTGGGGAACAACCCTAAACCCTAAACCCAAAACCCAAAACCCAAAACCCTAAACCCCTACACCCTAAACCCCAAACCCTAGACCCTTCGGGCCCTGCTTCTCAACACGACTGCTCCGAAGATGACTCCGGCTTGCGCACCCTTCCCTCACCCCAAGTGGAGAGCAACTCCCCGGTGGCGAAGTGAACACTTAAGCTTAGGGGTTAGGGTGTAGGGTTTACTTTAAGTTTAGAGTGTAGGGCCTAGGGTTTAGGGTCTAGGGCTTAGGGTTTGGGGGGCTTCAGGGGGCCCAAAGCAGACTCATGGGGTGCCCGAAAGACATGAACTGTTTCCGTTTGCTCGTTCCAGCGTGTGCTTTTTTTGCTGACGCAGTTCCTGGCTCCACCGTTGAAGGTCCCTAAACGCAACGTGTCCTTGAGGGAGTTATTTAGAGAGTTTCCGGTGTAGGCCCTGCAGCCCTTTCAGGGTTGCTGATTTCATGTTCGTTGCAACAGTGCTGACACCACAACCCAAACAACTATTCGACACGTTTTGGCTCTTAAGAGTCAGGCTCCTACGGCACCCCGAACCTCTAATTCCCAATAGAGCTGACTCATGGGCCGAAGCCACCAATTTCTTGAGCTGACCACGTGGATGGAGGTGGTGGAGCCCCAGAGGGTGGCGTTCTCCCAGAAAACCTACCAAATTTCCAGAAGAGCTTAGGGTTCGGGTTTAGGGTTTAGGGTTTTAGGGTAGGGTCAGAAGGCTTGCGCAAACAGGCATCCTCATAGATTCGGGTTTAGGGTTTCGCAAACCCGGGGCGTCTTTTTTTGCTTGGTTGTTTTCGGGCCTTGCAAGGTCGGTGGCAGGAGCGGATTTTCCGCCAAATGCATGTTTTGAAGGTCCTGCAACACTACTTTGCTGAATTCAGGGTTTTGGGCCTTCACTGCCGGTTGCATGGGGGGTAGTGCAGAATACATAAGATTAAAGTATGATGATACACAAGATTTGTGAAATATTATGTTGTGCAAAGGCAGCATGCCACAACGCTGTGAATACCGGTGTTTTTGGGTGTTTTTGGGCATGTTTACAAAGACATGAACGCTTTCGACAGCAGCGTCAAGCATCCTGTGCAATAACGTTGTGAAAAGAGGCAAGAACACTGGAAATATAGACGTATAATTGGGGTTAGAACTACCTATGAACCCTCAAGTAGGGTTCCCTGTAACCATCCGGTCGAGGGACCCGCTTGTTTTCTGCCCTGACAAGCTCGGATTTAGTGGCAGGCGCGGCATTTCCGCTAAACGCGTGCTTTGCAGGTCCTGCAACACTTCTTTGTGGACTTCAGGGCTTTGGGCCTTTACTGCCGGTTGTATTGGGGTAATGCAGAATACATAAGATTAAAGTATGATGATACACAAGATACGTGAAATATTATCTTGTGCAAAGGCAAAGAGGCCACAACGCTGTAAACACCAGTGTCTTTGTATACGAAGACATGAACTCTTGTGACAGCACGTCTTGTTCCAGAACCGTCAAACATCCTTTGCATTACGTTGTGCAAAGAAACACGAGCGCTGTCAATACCAGTGCTTTGGGGCTTGGTTGGCCATGTTCGTTGTCCAAAGAAGCAAGAACGCTGTAAATACCAGCGTTTTGGGGCATGGTCGCCGTAGGCACGGACATTCTTCTCCCACTCCCCCAAGGAACCAGAGGAAAGACACCTGAAAATAAGAAACAAAACATAATGACCGAAGAAAACGGAGGAAACGACCAGGCAAAATGAAGCGCCAGGACTTTGCAGACCATACCTTGCGCAATCTCGGCCATCACCTGGCCTCCCCCTGGCCAACGCTGAGATTGCCATCCCAGGCATAGTAGACCTTGGCCGAAGGCTTTGGCTCTCCATCGCGGGCTCGCAATGTTTGGGCCAGGGCGAGGGCAAAAGGGCTCAGCTGGAAGCTTATTATTTGGGAACCTCCCTTAATGGGGCACGCCTTGTCCCCTTGCCCAGGATCCCCCAGAATAGGTAACCCAACAAGAACCCCCCAGAACAGGTACCCTAACTGCCCTAACTGAAAGAAAGTAGTAACTTGCAAAAGGCCGAAGCTGAAAAGAGCCCAGAACTTTCTGGGGCTTGGGAAGGTAGTTCAGGGCCGAACCCTGAACTACCCTTAAGTACCCCCCCCCAAACCCCCAACATCCGAATGAGCAAATCCTGAAGCATCCGGGAAAGCCCCTTTGAACCCTAAGAACCCTTGCAGCACCTAAACTCCGAACATCCTTGTCAATACATCCCAAAAACCCTAACATCCTGAAACTCTAAACCCTAAAAACCCTAAACCCTAAAAACCCTAAATTTTTAGGCCTTGGCCCGAAATGTCTTGGGGCTGCCGAGTTGCCCAGAACGTTCTCATCTCCGACTCGGACAGCAGGCGACCATAGTGGTTGCCCAGTGTTTGTTGGGTCGGCTCCATCTTTAGCACCTGAAGGGTTTAGGGTTTAGGGTTTAGGGTTTAGGGTTTAGGGTTTAGGGTTTAGGGTTTAGGGTTTAGGGTTTAGGGTTTAGGGTTTAGGGTTTAGGGTTCAGGGTTTAGGGTTTAGGGTTTAGGGATACTGGCAGAGGGGCCATGTGGGGTTTTCCGAATTTCGGGTTACCTTCTTGGGGGGTCCTTAATATGTACGAATCCTACCATCTGGGGGTCTATGTTAAAGTTCCCTTTTTTTCGTAAACCCCACGTAGAGGTTTAGGGTTTAGGGTTTAGGGTTTAGGGTTTAGGGTTTAGGGTTTAGGGTAGAATTTTGGGGAGCTCAGAGGTTTCGGGGTCTAAGTTGAACGGAGCTCAATGCAGAGGACAGGCACGGAGAGTCCGTTGTTCCAACCGCCAATCACAATCTCGAAGCCGTACCTCAGGGCAGCCGCCCATGAAAAGCTTTCACCAAAGCCTCTCTATGCCCCTCGTGCTCACACATGATAGCAAAAGAGAGAGAGAGAGAGAGAGAGAGAGAGAGAGAGAGAGAGAGAAAGACAGAGAGAGAGGTAGGCAGGGAGAGCGAAAGAAAGCAGGAAAGGAAAGGAAAGCAAAGGGAAAGAAAAGGAAAGAAAATAACAGAGCAGCTCGCATCACACATGCAAGCAGGGTGCTCGCCAGGCTTTCCAAGAAAGATGTGCGCGTCGTTCGCGGCAGCCACGGAAACTAACATCTTGAGTGGGTTGCCTGACTTGAGCACGGCTTTCTCGAAAACCAGCATGAAAGACACAATGCCAAGAGTTGTCTGAATGTCCCGGGAACATCGACAGGCTTCATGGCAATACCCCGTCCCGTAAAACAGCAGCATGCGCAAAACAACTACTTCAGTGCAAGCTGCTAGGAGTAACTTCAATATTGTAGAGGAACTGGTACCGGAAATACTCTGGAGTAGAACGGATTCGCCCGCCAAGTACCTGAAGCCGCTTGCTACAGGAATGAACAGAGACGGGGGCAGATTGGCATCATCACGCTTGGGCCACTGCACTGCAGCTAAGCCACAGCCTGCCTACGATGCATACTCCATTCTGGGTAACATTTGACGCGTAATTTCACTGGAGCCCCGGTAGGGTTTTCCTAGCACCACCATGGGCGTTAAGATTCTACTTGCGTTCCGCCTCAAAGCGAAGACAGGCAAGGATACACACACGCAAATCTTGAATGCATCCCTCCTGACATGCACAGCACCCTGCAGAGGGTGCTGAGGATGCAACGGATGCACTCTTCAGCAAAGTTGTGCCATGACAGCTCAATATTTGACCTTGCACTTGGGCTGATTTGGGCACCAAGGCGTCTGAAGACAGTGAGTTGGCATCGCAGGCCCCAAATAGCTTGTAGTCCTTCATCGCTCAAGATGCGCTGATGTTGCTTCGAACTTTTTTGGGAGGGCAGGAACTGCCACATTCAAGAAGCTAGATGTTCGCCAGAGCTCATTAGATTGCTATGATCTTCCTCTGCAGTTGCGAAGAATCAGTGAGGATGTCAAACCGGCAGGGGTAGGCGGTCCTCGCAGGTGTAGCCCTGACTGTCCACCCAAGCCACTGGGGAATCTGTACAAGTCGTGCACCTGGTCAAGACATTAGATCACTAACAAAAACTGTGTATAAAATGAATTAAACCCATGAATGTATCGCGATGTGTCGTGAGAAGTTGGCATTCTTGGGCCTGTCAATCGTCGTAACGGTCTGCACCCCAATGGTCATGTCTGTGACGGAAACCACCTCGAGGCAGTCTTGATGAAGCGCAGCAGGGTTCCGGCAGAGACCACCAATAGCAAGACGTTTCCTTTGACATGTATCCAAGCTGATCGCGTGAGGACATGATTCCCTGATCACCGAGCCCCCGGACACTGAGGTCGCAAACGTTGAGACCCCTGAGCCCCTGTAGAGCCCTGCACCCCGACGTCCCAAGATTCCAAAACCCCAAAAAGTCAAGCCTGCTTGGTGCAGGTCCAGCCATCCTCCCAAGACATCTGAGGACCCGTCGAGGGTTTAGGGTTCAGGGTTCCGGATTTAGGGCTGCCCCTATCAGGAGCACAGGTGACTTCCCCTGCCTGTGCTTGAAACCTTGAGACCCCGGCAAAGCTCATCAACCAAAGCAATCCGTGTCCTCTACCTGGCATGAGCTGCTACAGCCATCGCCATCCTGCCAGGTTGAGGTGTGACATGAGGTGGGGATCAACAAAATCCTAAACCCTAACCCCTAAACCATCAACCATAAACCCTAAACCATAAACCCTAAACCCTATGACGGCCACATAGAGCCGAAGGCAAGCCTGCGCGTTCCCATCATCGCAAGTGTCAGGACGGCCCAGACCCAGGCGAGCAGAGGGAAAGCAGTCGCCGCAAACCTGTGTCGCACCAAAGTCGACGTGTCTCATACGGACACTAAGCTCTGACTGAGAACATCAGTTTGGAGTATACTCCCAGCAGCTAGCGTCAGATGCTGCCAAGTCTGCCCTATGCTCAAGAATGCGCCGGGCAGCAGCACAAAGGCCATATCCACAAAGCTGATCGCACTGCCCGGCAAGTTGGCCTCTGTAGTTGCAGCGTAACTTGGGAGGTGTGTGCGTGGCTATGCATGTTATGCTGCTGTGACGAAGGTATGCTCCATTGCTGCAGGAGCCCGCAATTGTATCTGACACCTAAACCCTAAACCCTAAACCCTAAACCCTAAACCCTAAACCCTAAACCCTAAACCCTAAACCCTAAACCCTAAACCCTGCATGCGTAAAGCAGCTAAGTCTCCACACGTCGGGCAGAAGCTCGCTTCACATGAGAAGGAGCCGCTGTCGACCATTGCCTGTTTCTAGGAACCGCATCACCACCGAGCTCAACCCCGAAGCACATGGTTAATATTATGTTGATATTATTAACATTTTTAATACCAGTAATAATAATAATCACGACAATAATATTCTTGGTAATATTAATAGTATTATAACTTGTTCATGCAATTGATCTCCTGCCTGGCATTGCCCTGTCATCCCCAACCGCGCGTCGAGATCGTTTTGGCAGCCCGCTGGCACAAAGGGACTTGCCTCATCAGCGACTCTCGCATGACGGTCCCAGCTTCATGCGACTCATCATGCGACCATATGCCCCCTAACTGCGACCAAGCCTTCTCCAATGAGGCGCTTTTTTTGCGCCAACAATGCCAATGTTTCAACTGTATGCTGAGCTATGCAGCAGAGCCACCGGGCAGCAAAGACTGGGCCCACAGAGATCCTGCCAGGCTTTCAGTAGACACCCGTTTTTGGCCATCAGCAATCGAACTTACGCTTTTCCGCTCGCTCTCACTCTCCCTCTCCGTCCCTCCTTTCTCTCCCTCGTGCTTCCCTTCTTACTCAGCACACACCCTCTGTGGTTTTTCTCTTTAAGGGGTCCTTTCCTCTCCTCGCCTCTCTCTCTCTCTCCCCTGCCTCGCCCGGGGATTGTAACAAAATCATTTTACGGTGACGACATACAGTGCTGCCTACCTCTCTGGGCTGTCAGCAATGCCGGGCGTGAGTGAGGCCCTAACCGCGCAGAAACACCTCTACTCAGCTGAAGCTCTCGTTTTCTGAGTTTCTTCTCGTTCTCTTTCGCTTTCTCTTTCTCTTCTTCTTCTTCTTCGTCTTCTTCTTCTGCTCCTGCTCTTCTCTTCTGCTGGGCTTTTATGGGGGTCAGGGCCCTCTTCGGCGGGCCCGCTGACGGTGTCTATCAGGGGTCTATGTCTGCACACCCGCATGGCCGGAAGAGCACCAGGAGCAGTTCCGCAACGAATGCGAAGCTTGTGTGTTGAGCATGAACATTCCCTTCCGCTCCGGTGCCACGAGGCCCACTGTGCCAGCACTGGCCGAGGCGTCGCACTCCTGAGATGCCATGCTGAGCCAGACATGTCTGAGAACAGCAGTCTGCAATGTGTGCTGTGACGGTTCATGTATTGGCATGTGTGGGTGGAGGGGGGGGGAGGAGGGGGGAGAGATTCCAGGAATCAAAGGAGCCCACATCCATTGTGTGAATTGTCCGAGGCTTCGCCGAAACCCTAAACCCAAACTAAACCGTAGCTTTTACCCTAAGCCCTAAACCCTAAACCCTAAACCCTAAACCCAAGTATCTCAAAACACTTCCAGCCCGAATCCAAGGTGCCCCAAGTGGGAACTGACCATTCGGGAGCTGCACCGGTAACAGACTTCTGACGGGATCATCAGCTCCAAGACCTCATCTCGGGGGCATCGGAACAAAAGTGGGCTTAAGATAGGGCCCCAAAAAAGCACATAAGCAAAAAATAGGATAGGGATATCCCATATAAACCCCCTTAGAATGAAGCCCAATAAGGTAGGGATTGTCCTTTTTGGGTCCCTGATAAGAGGTTCAGGGCATATGCCTTGCACAACTCAACCCGAAGGCTGGACTGGAAAAGCCCTCTGAGCGTCGAAAAGGACGCCGTTGATCATGTCTGAACAGGAGTTCGGGATCTGTCATGACTCTTCATGACTCTTTCTTCATTCGAAAAAATGCACAAGGCCCGTGTTATGATCGCATTCCATTTCTAAGTCTCTCTCACCCAGCATCCAAGACCAACATAAATATATATATATATATATATATAGATATGTATATCTATATATGTGGTACGATATAGATAGTGTGTTCATATCTACATATACATATATATATATATATTATACACTAGAAATTTGTATGTATATATATATATATCTACATAATAGATCCATGATCTTGCAGACATGCTGCATCGGAGCGTCGTGTTTGAGCCGAGGCAGGGCCGGGCCCCGCCGCAGTTGCAGTGAACCTTCCATACGAGGTGGTGCAGGGCTTAGGAAAACTGAGGGGGTTCCGCCCAAAAATGTTCTGAACGCAAATAAAGTCGGTTCCTAGTCGGAACCTCATGGTTGCCATCGAATCGAAACCGAGTCGTATGCCTGATAGTTCAACCCTCAGCTACCCTAAACCCTAAACCCTAAACCCTAAACCCTAAACCCTAAACCCTAAACCCTAAACCCTAAACCCTAAACCCTAAACCCTAAACCCTAAACCCTAAACCCTAAACCCTAAACCTGCCGCAGCCGATCTTGAGAGCATCGCCGACGCCGTCAGGAGCTTCCCCGCTCCCTGTCCGCTCCCACCGACGACTGCCCAAAAGCCCTGTACAACCCTCAGCCCATCCGAGCCCCCCCCCGCCCCCCCCCCCACATCCCAAGACTCTACGAGTAGCAAGCATTGGAGGAAAAGGACTCTAAAATGGAAGGTCCTTTAAGCTTTGATTGTAGTTTTTTGAGCTGCGCCGACGCGCAGCATTTACAACAGAGGCTGCTTGCGAAGCAAGGCGCAACACAGTCACCGCACTGCGCGATGTTGGCACATGCAGAGGCGTCCTGGTGAAACGGTGAATCCCAGGATGGGCTATTAGGCCTTAAAATCCCCGCCATGATCAACCCTATAAAGGGCCATTTTAAGGGGTTAAGAGGTTATAGGGTATAACAGCCCGTCCTGGTTCCAACTGCATGAGCACAGTGAACCCTCCCCCAACTCTTCAATGGCTCCCAAAAGCCCCCTGAACCCCCCTCCAAACCCTGAAAAGCCCCTAAACCCTAAACCCTAAACCCTAAACCCTAAACCTAAAACCCTAAACCCTAAACCCTAAGCCCTAAACCCTAAACCCTAAACCTAAAGCCCTAAACCCTAAAACCTAAACCCTAAACCCTAAACCTAAAACCCTAAACCCTAAGCCCTAAACCCTAAACCTAAAGCCCTAAACCCGAAACCCTAAACCCTCAAAGCGCTGAGGTCCTGCATGGGCCCTAATGGCCCCGCACGTGGCGCCTGGCAAGTTCCCTGCGATGCTGCCCATGGCACAAACAGCGCAAGGAGGACAGCCGCTCGCATTGCTCGCATTTCCTGGGTTTAGGGTTTAGGGTTTAGGGTTTAGGGTTTAGGGTTTAGGGTTTAGGGTTTAGGGTTTAGGGTTGAGGGCTTAGGGTTCATTGGGGGAAAGGGGGTGGGAGGGGGCCTTAACGGCCTTTGTTGGGGACGTGTGCGAATCTTTTCATTCTTGGCATACATAACAACACACACAGACTCACACAGACACAGACACAGACACAGACACAGACACAGACACAGACACAGACACAGACACAGACACAGACACACACACACACACACAGAGACAGAGACAGAGACAGAGACAGAGACAGAGACAGAGACACAGACACAGACAGAGACAGAGACACAGACACAGAGACAGACAGACACACAGACAGACAGGCTAGACAGACTAGACAGACTAGACAGGCTAGACAGACTAGACAGACTAGACAGACTAGACAGACTAGACAGACTAGACAGACTAGACAGACAAGACAGACAGACACACACACACACACACACACACACACTCGCCAAAACGGCCCTTTATAGGGTTGATTCTGGGGATTATAGGGCCATTATACCCTATAACCCCCTTAAGAAAGGCCCTGTTCTTCTGGAGCCCCCACTTCGAAAGGCCCTTTATAGTTGATTCGGGGAATTGTCGGGCCTACAAGAGCCCATCCTGGCGCAAGTGCTGGTGAAGGCAAGGCGCCTGCGCCATGCATGACCTGATTTCAGGTTGCCCGGCGCGTCCGGCAGGGCATCCTTTCTGCCCCGCCCACACGGTTTAAAAGCCTTTAGCCGAGGTGGCTGCGGCGCGCACATCCTCACAGTCACCGTGCCACTGCCAAGAAGACGTCCCATGCAGCATCTGAATCAAGTTTCTTAGAAAAGAGTGGTTGGTTGAGGCACCCCCAAGGTAAACCCCAGAAGCCTAGCCCCCGCAACCCACATCCGAAACCCTCAGCCCTGACTCACCTAAGCCCTTTCAACCTTAACAGCCCTATAAACCCTACAAAACGCATAAGATCCTACAACCCCTAGAAGCCCCGTAAGACTTATCAACCGTACAGACCCTGCAAACTCGGGAAACCCTAAACCCTAAACCCTAAACCCTAAACCCTGCAAACCCTGCAAACCCTGCATCCAGGCCGAGGCCGGCGCTGCTGCAGTTGACCCTGGCTCCTCATCGCCACCTTTCAGCATTTGGGTTTTTATTTCAGGGCTTGCAGGGTTTACCAGGGTTTTGTGGGGTTTATAGGGTTGATAGGGTTTGTAGGGCTTTGTAGCCTTTATGGGGTTTACAAAGTTTCTGAGGTTTGTAGGGTTTTGGGGGGTTTATTGGCTTTGTGGGGTTTGTAGAGTTTATGGGGCTTGTCGGGATTATGGGGTTTATGGGGCTGATGGGACTCGTGTGGCTTTACAGGGTTTACAGGGCTTTTGTAGGGGTTGTAGGGTTTACAGGGTTTATAGGGCTTTAGGATTTATGCAGTTGATCGGGCTTCTTGGGTTACGTTGAAGCCTCTGTAATCTTATGCCCCTATTGTTGCAACTTATCTCAGAGCTTGATATCGGTTCCTTTGTATTGGCAGTTGCCATTTTCTTTCCAGATACTTGAGTTTCTGACTTCGTGCTTCAAGTTCTGGCAGACGAGAGGCCTTACTAAGATAGCGTAGTTCATGTCCCTAGATTTCAAGGTGATGACTGCAGCGTAAGCGAAAGGGTGGCGCGGAACGAAGCCAATAGATGAACGATTCTTGTAAAAAGCGGTAACATTCTCAATAGCCATTTCACCTTCACAGGCATTTTGGTGAGACCGTCAGTTTTGCCCTTGTTCTACACCACAGCCCCAACAAATTGCGACAGTGTTCGTGGAGTTGAGTCCGTAGCTGACGTGTCCAACAATACGTTCCGGAGCCCTCGTAAGTGAAACGAAATTGCACAGAAGAGCTTTCCAAAGAAGATGCAAGCCTGTACATGTGTGGCGTCATTCACCCTTTCATAACTTAACTTAGGGACATTGTTGCTTCCATTCATTGCCATATAAGTGCATGTATCTCGCGACAAACCTAAGCAACATCATGCAGCAGGATGTTTGCAGCCCAAACAGGCCTGCTTGAGTGAGTTCTCCGGCATTTTGCTCTCGTCGAATCACCTGGAAAGGATTCGATCTTGTTGCAAGATAAGACTGGTCGCTAGACGGTTTATGGTCAAGGGTTTCTAGGGTTCTAGAGTTCTAGAGTTCTAGGGTTCAGTCCGACATGATGGCCCTCTTTCCGCATCACGCTCAGCGGAGAACTCTACCTGCGTGCAAACAACGCGGGCCTGTCGCTTGTGAACGCCACCCGGGTCACGATACACCAAGATGTTGTGCAGCCCGCAGCCTGCAACAGAAGAACTCAACTCACAAACAGCGGACATTCATATGTTGGACATGTCGCACTTCTCAGTGGTTTGGGAGCCTGCCCTTTATTCAGGGGTAACTGAGCTGAAGACGCGCTCCGGTCGGGCACTGCTTTCTTACATCGAACTACGCCAAACGCCCTCATATCGTTGATGTTACATACATAGGGTACCTGCCCCAAAATGCGCACACTGTCAGAAATTCGAATGCCTGCGTTCCGGGCGTCGCTTCCAATGGCGCAAACATCACGTTTGGGCATCGTTGCTTTCATCGGACAAGCTCCGAGATTTGCGTGCCGCTTTGCATTCCCGGCACTGTCCCGCGCATGTTTTGGGGATCGCTTGACGTGGCGTCACGAAAGCGTGCCAGGACACACTTTTCGGGCTCGCAGGTTCTTGGACGGATCCGTTTCATGCATCCTATCGTGACTTGCAATTCGTTAAGAGCCTTCGAAATCCTGCCCACCCCGCCCACGTGCAAAGTGTAGAACTGTGGCCGCACTTCGGTCGTGACACTTTCGGGTCCCTTAAAGCGTTTGCTTTTGGACTCCTCTTGGCAGTCTTCCACTGTTGAGGGCCAATACTGGCACAATTCAAACCAGAGGCTTGGAATGTCCATCTTCAACAGCTTTGTCCTAGTTTTTAACCATTCTTCGCGGTCGACTTTGCGGAAGTCAAAAACAGACAGAGCCGATGATTTGACAAAGCCCAAATGCAGGCAAACAAACCCCACCAGCCCTGTAAGAATCAAAACACACAGCAGCCTAAGGAGTAATCGGTCAAGGCCTCTTGTCGGCTCTTCGGGATAGCTTAGAGTGAGCGAAAGGACGAAGATGCGAAAAGGGAGAGACTGTGTTGAGAAGTGTCCCGGCAAACACTGCCACAAGGCTACCAAAAGCTTGACACTTATGTTGCTGGGCCACCTGGACGAGACGCGCAACTCATGTCTTGAGCATGCCGCTCAATTGCCAGGTGCTACGAAGAGTCACCCCGGGGCGGGGGAATACCTTATTCTCGTAAACTCCCATGCCGTAACTCACGGAGGAGCCAGCGACGGAGGCTGTTGCAGTTCAGCACACGTGTTCTTCTAAACACAGTAGCCAGGCATGAGTTTCCATGTTCCGGGGGGAGGGGGGGGAGGTTTACGAAACTAGGGGGTACGTTACTGGAGTCCTTCATAGGAATCCTACTATTTGGGGTACGACATTGATGGTCCCTTATTTTCGTAAACCCCGAATGCTCCTGGGCACGGGCCTCTGCAGCCACAGACATTTGCCTTGATGCAATCGAAGAGGGTACCTGAAACAAGGGTTTAGGGTTTAGGGTTTGTAGGGTTTACGGTTCTGTCGGCCATGATACAGGTTAGGCTGAGGGCAGCGAGCAGCTCACTCATTTGGACGTCAGGAACTTCAACTGGGAGACACTCGGATGCTGCATTGACACTGCCGAATCTTAAATGGCTGTTCGGGACAGTTGTAGCTTAGCCTGACTAGATATCTGGAATTTGTCCGTCACAGAGAGCCCGACCAATGGAGAGGAAGCCGAAAATCATCGCCGAGACGATCAAATCCTGCGCCATCCGGTGTCCATACCTCATCGGCAAGCAAGTACCATGTGCAGGGCTGCGGCCCTGGCCAGAAATGATGAACATGCACGATGGCCAGCGAGGCACGGCGTCTCATGCAGCAAAGGCGCAGCCACAGTTTTGCTCGTTTCCGCAGGGCCTCCGGAGCACCTGTGCAGGTCGAAGCGAGAATATCGGCGTTGACGGATTTCATGGACACGTACGCCAACTCAGTGGGGGGAGTCCGCAGGCGGAAGTTCTAAAAAACCCGAAACCAGAGGCAGGGTCTCCAAACGCCCCCCCCCCCAAGTCCAAGCCTTGACCTTTGAGTCGGAAAGCACACTCGATCAGCTCCAGGCACAGGGAGAGAAGCGTGAACTTCCTTGAAAGAAAGGATGCCTTCTGTGAGATAGCTGTGCTTTCAGGATCTCTGATCTCAGGTGTCCGCATGGGGCGAAACTTGTTCAATGGTGATTGGTCTGCATGAGCCCGGTTGAATTCGAACTATCCACTCGATGATCCTGCTTTGGACTGTATAGTAATCGGCAGGTCGCTGCATTAACACTGCTGACACATCAGCCTTGGCTAAATCAGAAGCACTCACAGACCTCAAAGTCGTCAAAACATGTCGCCCTAGGTCTTGCTTCCGGCTGTTCAATACCGTCGGTCTCTTCGGGACAAGGGACAAATTTTCAGCTCAAGAGGCCTCTGCTTCCTTGAGAAATTCTGGTAGTCAACAAAAGTTTCCACCCGGCGGGGCTCAGGAGCGTATTATATACTTGCCAGCGACAGAGAGCGATAGGAAATTGTGGAAAGCAAGCCCCCTCCCTTCCCCCCCCCATCTCCCCTCCCTCACGAACCCTCAGCCCCAAGCCATAAATGAGCTTGTCCAACTTGGTTTTTTGGGCAACCTCACTATGTCGGCCATTCTGGGGTGAGTTCGGGCAGGGTCGCAACA